CAGTATGCCTCTGGGACCTGGGTGGTAGGTCAGTTTTTCCCTGAGGGGGGTTTTCAGTCTTTGGATGCTCTTTTGTGCTGAAGAACAAGCAATAACAGTCACACAAAAATAACATTCCCCAAATGCACAATGGGACGACTACATATTTCATTTTTACAGCAGACATCCTTCTGTAGGGGTAACCACTGTTGTTACACCAATATTTATACAATGAGCCTGAGGCTCTGAAGATCTACAGTTGGATGCCATGGCAAGGGAAGTCTAAAGTGAAGTTACTGAGAACAATATAAGGAAGGGAGCCTGTTGTAGGACAGCAGCATCCATGATGGGAAAGGATGAGGTTCTTCCTTGACTGCTCCAATTCTTGTCCAGCACCACCCACATTCCTGGGAACTGTGCTGAAGATGGAGAGAGAGCCCCAGACAGAATACTCGCCATATCCCCGATTCTCAGTCTGTGTAAGCCTAGATCGCCCATCTAGCCTCAGCCACTAGGCGTAGACCCAGCGCTTTCGGAGCCCCGGGAACAGTACCATGGACAGCGCCCGCGTTCCTTGGGGTCAGCTGGGCTTTCCGCACCACAGACAGAGGAGCGGAGGAGGGATGATCGGTGGCTCCGGCAAACCCGGCTCCACAGGAAGAGACAGGGGGAGAAGCCGCCCGCTTGGCTAGGATCCGGAGGAGGCTGCGGAGGCGGTGCCAGGGGAGAAATAATCCAAGAGCTGTGCCGATTTAGGCTGAAAATGCTCCCAGTCGCGGGTGTGCACGTGGAGCGCCTGAGTTGCTGGGGGCGTGTGGGGGGAGATGCACGTGGATGCCCCGGGCATCTGCAGGGCTCCTTCCTGCCCCTCGCTGCAGCTCTGGAACTCACGTTTGCAAAAGCACACGATCCCCTTCCTACCTTCCAAGTAGGTGAAACCAGGCCAGACTAAATCTCCCAACCAGGCCCCTGCCCTTTGTGGAAAGCACATCTCCACAGAGGAATTCTGCTGCTCCCCAGCTTTGTGCTGGGGGAGGGCTCTCACCGTTTCTCTCACGTGTGGCATAATTAGCTAAGCCCAAGAACCCCTGGACTGTGGTTCAAAAACGGAAACAGTTACACCTGGGCCCAAGGAAGGGCTGAGGCTTTCAGGAAAAGCTGAGCACACAGTGGAAGACTGGAACTTTCCGGCTAGGTAAGCAAGAGGTTATTGACTGGCTCCAGCAAGGATCTCTCTACCTGGCCCTGCTGTTTAGCCAGATGGTGACCTAGAGCCTGCTCCCAAGTGCTGTAGAAGCAGAATCTCATTATGTAGCTGAGATTGGCCTTGTATCTGCAGCAATCCCACCACTACCTCACCTGCTGGGGTTACAGATGTGCACTCCCATGTCCAGCTAAAGCCCCTTCTTGAGGATGCATCTCCTGTCTCCACCCAGGGCGGCTCCTGGAGCCTGTTTGGAGTTGCCTGCTAGGAGGGGGAAGGATCAGTGGCCAGGTCATTCAGGCTGCCTCTCACAGATGTGTACCTTAGGAGCTATTACTGGGGAGAGACCTTCTGAAATGATGGCTGATCTGGCACAACACTCAGGCTCAGGCTCCACATGTTTAGTGCTCAGTTTGGAGTGGAATTCTGGGTCAGCTCTAGGCTGCAGAGGAGCTTGTGGTCCCTGAGTCCATCCCACGCTAGGAGACAGTGGCGACTTTCTCATCTGCCATGCCTTCATCAGCACAAGCCTCGTCGGTGTACCCCAGGGAAGAGCTGACTGGTCTTTCCTCTCACTGGAGGACTCACTGTGGACACAGAGAGAATGGTGGGCACAACGGGGCTCCTGGGAAAGCTCCAGTACTTGGTGGTTTCCATGTTGACAGTCCACAGATCCTGGTGCCGAGCCGCAAGGACTTGTCTCTTCTGTGTATCCAGTCATTGGGCCCTGAGACCTGAGTATCTTCACAGTCTCACCTCCAGCCCCGAGTCCTTGCCCAACCAGACCTCTGTCCTTTCCTCTTCTCCTATTCCACCCCCCTCATCTGGCCAAATAATGGCCCCTGCTTGTTACATACATAGGCTTTCTCAGCTGAGGATGAGTGCTGCCTGCCTCCATAGCTAGGATCCCCAGTACTTTGCAAAAGACACCTTCAGAGTGTCACCCATCACAGGGGTTGTCATGGCTATCTGTCTTTTCCCTTGGCCTGGTAACTCCTTGAGGACAAATGGCATCATGACTGTGTGACTTCCCGGTACTTATGAAGGAATGAACAAGAACTGGTCACTCAAACTGCCAGGGGTGCAGTTTCCTGAGCCTTAGAGGCCTGGCTGGTCAGTGAGGCAGGAGCAGCTCAAGAATTCAATTCCATGTGCAACTGTGGTCAGTATTTCTAGAGAAGGAACCGGATTGGTGTTAGCACTTGACTCCCCAGTCCCAGTGAACTTGAGGTGCAGATACTGGGGGAGAAGAGCTCTCACATCTCTTTTTTGGCTAAGTCCCCTCTGGAGTTTCATGGCTAAAGAATATGGATGTCTGTTCCCTAAATATGGCCTGATCCCAAAGAAACAGAAGCCACCAAGATGATGGGAAGAAGGGCCTGTCCTCCCAGCACCCTCTACTTCATTACTGTCTGGAGCACCACTGAGGAAAACAAGGCTCAGAGAGGGGTCTTCTTGAAGCCAAATACAAGTGCAACATGTCCCAAGACTCCAGGGCTTTCTGATTCCCAAACGTCAGACCAGGAACACATCTGTTGGATTTTACTTCTCTCTCTTCTGCTTCACTGGGCCCTGTGTCTTCCTTCAATCTGGCTAGTGGCCTCTGCACACAGCTCTCATCCAACAGGGTCTCTACTGTAACCCTGGAGTCCTAAAGACTGCCAACTACTTGCCCACCAATGTCCCACTCCTCACAACTATCACTCTAGGGGCTCCCCCTGTCTCTGACATAGTCGTTTCTGTGAGCACCAGCTCAGGATGCAAGCCACCTTGGAGGCTGGTTCCTGGCCTGTATGGGACCTGATCATCTCATGCTTGGAAAAAAATAATCCAAATACTCACAATCCAAATAATCAAAGTCAGTCTGTGGTAACAGCCCCAGGGACTGGGGTGACAAGCAGGGTAGCTGGGATTGGGGGCACAGTGCAGGCAGCATGTTCTGTGACAGTGCTGTGACTCAGGCACGCTCACATCCCTGCCACATTGCACGTGTCAACAGCAGCACTCTCTCTGCTTCCACCCCCTGCTGTAGCAGCCTCTGGGGGTGTACCAGGGATTTCAGGATGGGAAGACCCTTGGCCTAGGAGGTACACACGCCTTGATGCTCCAGGAGACTGAGGCTCTGCAGCCAAGCTATGGGCAAATAGCCACCAGGCAGTGTGGAAGCCTGGCTGTAGCTTATCAGGTCTCTCCTGTTCTGGAGAATACGAGACCTCCAAGAGGTAGGCCCAAGGCTCCTTTAGATACCTGCCAAATGCAGCCTAGCTAGGTTCTCTGAGACCAGTGTGGCCACTGAACCACTAGCAGGGAAGGTTCAGGGCCACTCACCGGCCTCCCAGGGCTTGCTTAGCTGCCATCCGCACCCTTCCCTGTGGCTGCCATCCCCACCCTTCCCTGTGCCAGTGCTGGAAGGTACACCAGTGACTCCCACAGGTGAGGACAGTTGAGCCATGCCAGCCAGAAGCCTTTTCCTCTGTTTCTAGAGTCTACTTGCCTCAATCTCTCAGGACTTCCTGGATCCCTTATACCCAGAAGCACTTGCTTTAACCTCAACAGTGGGAGAGAGGACCCATTTGGGTGTCAGAAAGTGAGTGTTTGGGAAAAGGGGTGGGTGCATATGTGTCCAGGACTCAGGGGCAGGGGTGGCTGGGGAGTCAAGTAGTGAGGGTTGCAGGAAATGGGGCAACTGGATCCTAGGGTATTTCAGTACCACCCATGTTTCCAGCCTTGAATCACCCAGCCCAGCCCTCAGACCACTTCTAGACAGGACCACTAGGCTCCGGCAGGCTTCTGGCCTCGTCTAGACGGCCCCCAATCATTCCAGGCGCTTTTCTCAACCCCCACCTTCTGCTCCAAGGCTGCTGTCCAGCATCACATCAAAGTGACAGGCTGGAAGGAGAGGGTCCTGTGCCCAAAGGGGCACCAGGGAGGCCCGAACAGACCCTGGTCAGTGGGCCATGGTACAAGGTGGCAGTGGGAGTCATCCCTCAAGGAGGGAGCAGGTGAAGTGGCATCTGCCATCTGCTCCTGGGAGGTCAGCTGCTGGCTCAGGCTGGGAGGGGCTAGCAGGAGGGCTGCTAGGCCAGATCCAGGCCTCAACAGTGCAGCCTTCTCTCCTGGGATGAAGGGTGGGGAGGATCCCCCACTGACCTAACATCCCAGAAGGACACAGAAGCCCTGTTCAGCAATCTCGGGGTGCCCATTCCCCATATTGAAGCCTTCCAACCTTGGCCAAGGCCCATTCCCTTCTCTAGAACCAAAGACGTGCCAGCCCACTCCCTCTGCCTCCTTGTGGGCGGCAGTTCTACACCAGCTCATGTCCAGAAGGTGTCCAAGGCCCCTAGGCCACATATTCACATGGCTCCCCCCATTTAATTGTATGAACACCTGTCACGTCCTCCAGTCCGAGGCTCATAGAACTGGAGTGGGGAGAGCCTAGAGCCAAGCCAGAAGGCGTGGGGGCTGACCGCCTGCAATTTCGCGTCCTCGCAGCCACCGTGCTGCCTCTCAAGCGGTTGCATGGTTCCGACCCACAGCCGGACCGCTTTGCCGATGGCGAGCGTGGTGCGATGAGGCCGGCTGTTGGACTAGGGACTGTGGAGCGATCCGCTGGCCCAGCGGCCGGATGGTGAGGTGGGGAAGGGGCTGCGATTACGTAAGCCCTGCTCAGGCGGCGGCGGCCGCGGCGCAGTCCCTAGTCCCCACCCCGCCCCCTCCTCATTGTAGCCTCCGCGGAGGCAGTGGCTCGACCTGGACCCTCCCCTCCCTGCAGCCCGGCCGCGCGCGCACACACCTTACCTCGGCCAGGGCTTCTGGCTCATGCCACGCTGTCCGCCGGGCGACCTCGCGTCATGGGGAGCCCAGCACCAGAGCCGCCAAACGCGGAGGCGGACGAGGTGCTGGACTGGATAGCAGGGCCCGACTGCGCCCGGTGCCCGGCGCTCCGCGCCAGGGCCCTCTCGGCAGAGCCCAGAGCGGAGCTCCCCGGTGGGAGAGGATCTACCGCCCTGAGCCTCCCACCGGGGAGGCTGAGGCTGTGCCCAGATAAATAAGGCCGCTTTGCAGGGAGCCCGGCGGGCGCCTCCTCCCTCCCCTTGCCCTCCTCCCTGCGCTCCTCCTCCGCGCTCCTCCCCGCGCTCCTCCGCGGCCGCCGCCGGCGCCGCGCGTGCCCCCCGCCCGGCCCTAAGAGCCGCGCCCTCGCGCGCTCTCGGCGTCCGGACCAATCCCGGCTCTCGGGCCAGGCTGAGGTGTCGAGAATCCCGAGCCCCGCCCCACTCCGCGCAGCGCGCTCCCGGTGCGGTACCGACGGGCACGCGCCAAGCACCAGCACCCGTTCAGCGGCCGGTGCTCGCACAATAACAAACCCCGCAGGCCGCGCGTCCGGGAGGACATTCGAGGGGAAAGCAGGGCGCGCGGCAGAAAAGCAACTTCGAGTGCCCATCTGCACGAAGCGGTGGCAACCCAGAATCCTCCTGCTGAAGAGAGCTGGCGTCCTTGGCGTGAGCGCTTGACAGTAGAGTTCTGAATTCTACGCAGATGCAGCCGGCCCTATGTGCTCTTGCTTGGATTGCCACCTGCGAGGGCGAGGAAAGGGAGACATCAGCACGATCGCACCTTCACACACACCCCTTCCGCATGGCAGAGGGCAAGCCTCTGGGATCTCATATCCCTTCCGTTCCTGCTGCTGAAGAATGCTCCTTCCTGGTGACATAGTCACGCACCTGCAGAAGCCTGCAAGCAAATGACTAAAGCGAATGTCAATGAAAACATAAGACAGTGTAGTCATATTGGGAAGGGGTTACTTCTGAGAATGTCACAAATGATTTGAGACAACCCACTTCCCCGGGGGATGAGAGACAGGGGACAGGAATGGTTCAAGAAGGGCTGTGCAAAGATCCTAAGGCCTTAAGGAGTTCCACAGGTTCCCTCTGGAATGAAGTGAAGGTCAGGTGGTAGCAGCCCATATGGCCCAGGACAGGCGGTTTGTATGGAGGACCCTGCAAGCACTGCTGGATAGCCGGGCCTTCCAGCAGGCTAATGGAGCCCCAATCTGGGGGTCTCTTGGGAGCAGGGATGACAGATGTGGAGACAGCAGAGCAGCGTCCCGGAAAGGAGGAGATGCAGGGTGAAGCGTTCTTAAATGAGACCAACTGGCATTGGGAAACATGGCCTTGTGGGACTGTGAGAAGGAGAAGTAACCTAGAGCCTGGCTGGTGTGTGTGTGTGTGTGTGTGTGTGTGTGTGTGTGTGTGTGTGTGTGTGTGTGTGTGTGTGCATGGAGGTGAGAAGTTAATATTACAATCCTCCTTTACCATTCTTTTAACTTTTGTTGTTGTTGTTTTGAGACAGGGTTTCTCTGTGTAGCTCTGGCTGTCCTGGAACTTACTCTGTAGACCAGGCTGACTTGGAATTCACAGAGACCCACCTGCCTCTGCCTCCTGAGTGCTGGGATTAAAGATGTACACCACCACTGCCCAGCTTTTACCCTGTTTTTTGGAAACAGAATCTCACTGAACTTGGGGCTCACCATTTATGTTAGCCTGGCTGACCTGTCAGTCCTCAGGATCCTCCTGTCTGTCCTTCAATGCTGGGGTTGAAGCAGGCACTTCACCCACAGAGCTTTTCCCTAGCCCATCACACCTCCCCCCCTTCTCTCTCTTTCTGTTTTTTTTTTCTTGGGGTGTGTATGAAAGTGCAGGTAGGTTCTCTTCCTGGCTTGGAACTAACTGACCAAATAAGCTAGGCTGGCTGGTCACTGAGCCCCAAGGATACGCCTATGTTGCCTTTCCAGCACTAAAGTTACTTATAGCCACATGTCACAAAATTCAACTTTTAATTTTTTTAAACCTGGTACTTGCAAGATACTTTTCCAACTGATTTCTTTCTTTTCTTTTTTTCTTTTTGTTTATTTTTTGAGACAGAGTTTCTCTGTGTAGCTTTAGAGCTTGTCCTGGAACTCACTTTGTAGACCAGGCTGGCCTCAAACTCACAGATATCTGTCTTCTTGCCTCTGCCTCCTGAGTTCTGAAATTAAAAGTGTGCAACACCATTGCCCAGCTTACAGATGATTTCTTTCCAAGGCTTTTTTTAAAAAACATGATGAAGCACTGGGGTCATTGGGTCCAGCTTGCCATAGCCAGGATCATGGCGAGCATCTGTGTGGCTGGGACTGGAGTGTCACTATCTTGCCTGGATATGGATCAGACAAGGTGGATTGGCATGGGACAGAGACTAGTGTAGATATTGAACCACCAGAGGGTGTCCTTCCCACTTGTCTAGTTATTGTCCTTGGACAGGTAGCCAGCCAATGGGTGATAGGAGGGGCCCTTGTGCAGAGGGTACTGTTCTGGAATATGTGTGCCTTGGCCTGGCCTTATGATGAACATACCAAGTGTGAAGAGCATGAGAGAGGCCTAGGCACACAATGGCCTTGGAACGGGTCCCAGAAAGTGAAAGTGGTCCTGTTTTTGAGAAAACAGCATTGAGGACACTTAGAACATATTGAGCACTAATCTGGAGGGGGGTGGCCTCTCCTGCCTCCTCACATCAAGGGACCCACCAACTTCCCTCTACCTCTGCCATACTTCCCAGATTAGGCACCCGTTTTCTCCTTCATGACATCAATAGCTTCCTCCTCACTGGTCTCTCCCCCTCCTCCTGCCCCTATTTTCCCCAGGGTTCCCAGGGGTCAGTTGGTATGCAGTAATGGTCCATCTGTCCTAGCCTGCTATCTTCTCTACTGTGGTCTGTAAGACCCTGGTTCCTTGGGCTCTGTACGAGCCAGGAGTGGACCACATCCCTTATCCGCAGAACCTCTCTCACCTGGCCCCTCACCTGGAGCAGCCTCTTGGCACCTGCCCTGAATGAATCTATTTAGCTCTTGGATTTGGCTGTCCTTCCTAGAAACTTTCACTTCCATGTCTGCCCACAACACTGAAAGCCTCCTCTTCTGAGCCTGGGCCTGCTGGCTTTCTGATGGAACAGAAAGTTACAGCGGGCTGTTAGCTGACAGAACCCAGAACCCCTAGAGGGCCAAGGTGGGGTTCCCTGGGCACCCAGCAGAGCAGAGGGAGGTGCACACACACATGTTGTCCCAGGGACAGGGAAACTGGCTTTTGAAGACCCTTCCACCAAGGATTCCTGATTGCTTTTGGAGAACAGTTTACATCCTGAGAGAAGTATGCCAGATAAGGTCCAACTGGCTGTACAGGTGACTTTTCGTCTCTTTGCAGAATAGGAGATAGCATATAGGACCAGTTCAACCAGAATGCTCTTTTCCTGGGTTAGTCTCAAGGGACTGATATGGGAGCATCTATGAACTTGGTTCCTAAGATTACATGTCTCTTAGTGGAGCACCCCCTCAAGTGAAGCACCCTCACCTGGAGGACTCCTCACTTGAAGCACTCTCAGTTGGATCATCTTTTAATTGAAATACAGTTAACTGGAGCAACCCTCATGTGGAGCATGCTCAAGTGAAGCATCCTCACCTGGAGGACCCCTTGTTTGGAACACCCTCAACTGGAGTCCCTTTGAACTAAAACACACTTTACTGGAGAACCTTTCGCTGGGAGCACTCTCAGTGGGAGCACTCATTTCCTGGAACACTTCTCACTTGGAGAACCCCTCTCTGGAGACATCCCTCATTTAAAACTACTCCCACCATCATCACCCTTACCTTGATGTCAGAGCACAGAGGACTGTCTCCTGTCCAGGCTTCTGGTGTCCAACTCTACAGTGATGGGTACTCTGCAGACCTGGGGCTGCGGGCACATTTGGCTTAGAGGGCTGAGGGAGCATCAGGGGTCCACTCCCTGGGTCTAGAATGATGACTGCACATGTTCCCTAAATCTTATCACAGAAGATCCCCAGGCATGTCCTTATGAAGCCCTAGTGTGGAGAGGGAGACACATGGCTGGGTCTAATCCTTCCCTGAACCCTTTCTGGGAAATGTGACTGGGCTCTAAGGAAGGATGCCCTGAATACTTTAGCACATTATTTGTGTCGAGTAACCCCCTCAAGGACAAAATGAGTCATCTAGGGACTAGATAGGTTCTCTGTGGCCCTGAGCCTCTCTTCCTACCTCTCCCTCCTTTACCTACTCTGTGCTCCTTCCCATTCTTCTTCCTCTCACCACCTATACCCCTGGGCCCTCCTGCTCCTCCACCCTGTGCCCACCCAGAGTCAGAGGCTCAAGAACACCGGAGAGAAGCAGTGGGACAGCTGTCATCTAACTGTTCAGATGACAGGGTGAGGGCACCAAGGTTTTCTGGTGGCCTCTGCTCTGGCCTGGCCCGCCCCCTGTCAAGGCTGAGGATGACTCAGGGCCCAGCTGTCACCTCAGCAGCACACGTTGTCGCCTAGTGATGGCGGTTTCCCAGCAACGGTCGTCTCCTAGCAATGGGATATTTTCCCCTGGCCCTGGCTGGAGCCAGTGGCTATTTTTAGCTCAGCTTCAAATCAATCAGCAACTGCATTTGGACTCCTTGGGAGATGCAAGGTGTTACGGAGTGGGTTTCTCAGCAAAAATTGAAAACAATTAAAAAAAACAGATAGAAACCTTAATGCCCAACCCCTTGAAGTGCTTGGCTGAAGGTGGGTGCAGCCAGCTCCCCTGCGCAGTCTTGGGAGCTGGCAGCTATGATTATGTCCTGGATGAGGTCTCTGTGTTCAAGGGGCTGATGGCTGGATCACCCTAAAGCTGCTAATGTCCAGCTGGGTACAGTAACCAGAGGCAGTGCTCACACTAGGTGCCACTGGTGCACTCCACAGGGTCCCCCAATATCCCCTGCCCATCAGTCGTAGGAACTATCTCTCTTGTTTACACCACCCAGTAGCCCCACCCATGCTCAGTCCTGGCTGTAGGGTCCTGGTGTCACAGGTCTAGCTAGAGACAAAGAAGGGTCTCTGGTCAGCTACATCTAGTGCCCATCTGGCTTCAAATGAAATTTGAGACCTGTGAAGAGGGGAGTCTTGGGCAGTGGGAAGACTTGCTATCCTTTTTAGGTTTTCTCACAAGATCAGGGAGGAACCTAAATTCACCCACTGCCAGTAGGTGTAGAGAGCTGACACTATCATCTTTCCCATTTATAGTCTGTGGTTGTTTGCTCAAAGCTCTATGGTCCTGGGGCCATCGTGTTCCCAACCCCTGTCAACTCTCCTACTTGTATCTCTTCCCCGAATCGCCTTGTTAGATGGCCTGCTCATTGTGAGTCAGCTGCATATCTGCCATCAACTCTCCTGCTGCGTGTTGGGACTGCCTATCCTCTGCTCTCAGGGTCCGGCACACTATGGGTATGGCATCAATGTCCTCAACCGGCAAAGGCCCGTGTTACAGGGGACAGCCGTGACTGGAGGTGGGCAGCCTGAGCGGTGACACTTGACATAAGGACTGAGGCCTCCCTCTGCTGCTGCCCACTTCATCCTATGACGTGTAGTACAAGGCTCTGGGGAAGCCAGAACAGGAATCAGGTGTCAGGATGGTTTCCAGATTGGACATCCCCTGTGATGGCTAATCTTGGTTGTCAATTTAACACACTTGGGAAGAGAGAAACTCAATTGAGGAACTTCCTCTATCAGATTGACCTGTGGGCGTGTCTTTGAGGCATTTCCCTACCTTGGAGCACCCCTCTCTCAATCTTTCTCCCCCCTCTCTATATATAGTAACAATAATAATAAAGGAAAAAGAGGCATCTTAAGACAGTTTCTCTGTGTAGCGTTGGCTGTCCTGGAACTCACTCTGTAGAGCAGGCTGGCCTCAAACTGAGAGAGTCATTTGAATTGGCATTTTCTTATTTCTTTTTTAAAAAAAAGATGTATTTATTATGTGTACAGCATTCTGCCTCCATGTATTCCTGCCAGAAGAGGTCACCAAATCTCATTATAGATGGTTGTGAGCCACCATGTGGTTGCTGGGACTTGAACTCAAGACCTCTGGAAGTGCAGTGCTCTTAACCTTTGAGCCATCTCTCCAGCCCTGAATTGGCATCTTCTTAATTGCTAACTGATACAGGAGAACTCAGCCTACTGTGGGAGGTGTTATTCTTGGGTAGGTGGACAAGCCAGAGAGAGCAGGCCAATAAGCAGAATTCCTCAATGGTCTCTACTTCAGTTCCTGCCCTGGCTTCCTTCAATAATAAACTGAAACATGAAAGTATAAGCCAAATAAACTTTTTATTCCCCAAATTTGTTTTGGTCAGTGTTTTACCATAGCAATAGAAATTAACTAGAATACCCTCTTTGGGTCAAAGGTCTTGAGATGCTGTGGCTGTTGGCTAAAGCCAATAATTTGAAGCCATCATTCTGGTTTCTAGTCTTCTACAGGAGGCCATACGCTTCCATTTCCCATTTCCCAACTTCTTGAAGTACACCTGTGTTTGATTTGAATTCCTTTCGTGGTTTTTGTTCTGAGTTGTGTGGGATTAATGACCCATTCCTTAAGGCAAGGACACTAAATTTTGACACACTCAAGGAAACCCCCAACTAGAGCATAAATAGGTAAGAGTTACCTGGGATTTGGGGTGCCCTCATTTATCCATCTGCTCCCTTTCCTCTGGGTTTCTATCTACAAGCACTTGTACCAGGTATGCTGGATCCTGAGGCCAGTCATGGCTTTCTGGGACCTATGCCCATGGGCAGCAGAGTTCTGACAGCTAATGATGTTCAAATGTCCATTCCATGACAGTTGTAGAAGCAGCATCTGTCCTGCTCTTCTCCCAGGGTGACAGAATCATTGTCGTGTTGTTTAAAGATGAAGATGAGGAGGGAAAAGTCTAATATAGGGATCCAGGTCAGATGAGAGCTTCTTTCAGATCAGGTTACCTCTTGGAGTCCTTCTATTGCTGGGACTCAAGTCAATTCTCCTGGAGAAGGCTAGGGTGGGGGAGCCAACTCCCTGAAACTGGTCAGCTCACGCCCTATATCACCATTAGAGGGCGCCTGCAGACTACTGTCTGCCTCAGAGGCCTGGGCTGAGGAGACCGCCAAAGAATAACCAAAATGCCCTGCTACCTCTTGGGCCTGGAAAGCTGTGGTTGACCCCTGGACATCCAGAGTTGACCCAGGTGTCCTGTGCCCTTCTGTAAATGCCTTGGCATCTGCTATGATTTCATCATGCTGTGTGATGACTTTTAATTGAAAATATTTTATGATTTATTTTTCATTTATTTTTTAACGTGTGTGTGTGTGTGTGTGTGTGTGTGTGTGTGTGTGTGCCTGTTTGTGCACGCATGTGAGTGTATGTGCTTGTGGAGACAAGAGTCGTTTGTTCTCCTGAACCTGGAGTTACATCCTGTTGTGGTCCTCTTGACGTGGATGCTGGGAACACATGCCCTGGTTCCTCTGTAAGCTAAGTAACATGTTCTTAACTGCTGAGCCATCTCTTCAGCCCATTTTATTTTATTATTATTTGTTTGTTTGTTTTCAAGATAGGGTTTCTCTGTAGCTTTGGAGCCTGTCCTGAAACTCACTTTTTAGATGAGGCTAGCCTCCACCTGTCTCTGCCTCCTACGTGCTGGGATTAAAGGCATGCGCCATCACTGACGGGCTTATTTGTTGTTTATTGAGACAAGGTTTCTATGTAGTACTGGTTGTCTTGGAGCTCTCTAAGTAGCCAGGTGGGCCCCAAACTCACAGATATCCTCCTGAGGTAAGCAGATCTCTGTGAGTTCGAGGCCAGTCTGCTCTACACAGTGAGTTCCAGGACAGCAAGTGCTATGTACAGAGACCCTATCTCAAACAAACAAACAAACAAAATAAGCAATAAATAGCCAGGCATGGTGTTATATGCCTTTAACCCCAGCATTGGGGAGACAGAAGCAGGTAGATCTCTGTGAGTTTAAGGCCAGCCTGGTCTACAAAGAGTTCCAGGACAGCTAGGGCTGTTACACAGAGTAAACCATTTACATAAAAGTCTCACAAGGTGGGGAGATTAGAAATTTGAAATCAGGGGCTGGAGAGAGGGCTCAAGGTTAAGAGCACTGACTACTATTTCAGATGTCCTGAGTTCAATTCCCAGCAACCACATGGTGATTCACAACCATCTGTAATAAGATCTGGTGCCCTCTTCTGACCCGCAGGCATACATTCAGACAGAATATTGTATATACAATAAATAAACCTTCAAAAAATTGAATTCCTTACCATAACCATATGTTTATAGTATTTGAAAGAAAAGATTCATATTTAATCTTTCTTATACTCAGACACACCACACTTTGTTTATCCACCCATCAAAAAGGCTGTGGTCATTTTCACCTTTGACTATTACAATACCTTGTTTTGACCCTCTTGCTTGGAGCAAGAAGCTAGCTGCACCTCCTGTTGCTCTGAAAGGGCCTTGGAGCCAAGGACAGGGTCATCAGTGTTTCTAAGCTCTTCTGTAGGCTGGCAGCTGGACCAACTGCTTCCACCAATGACATCACTGGATCTCATTTGTCCCTGAGTCCAGGTTCAGGCCAACTGAAGGGTTTCAAAAGGAACCAGGAGGACAGTGGATACAGAGGTAGAGTCCTGGGGTTGGAGATGCTCAGGGACTTCCCAAGGCCTCCCTCTGACTTCAGTCTCCTCTGCCCTTCCCTCAGCTCAGAAGAGCTCTTCTCTTTTGCGGGGGTTTCAAATCGACTCTGGCATATTTGTTTGTTTTTCTTTCTTTCTTCCAATTTTTTTGGAGGGTTTTTGGTTTTTCAAGACAGGGTTTCTCTGTGGCTTTGGAGCCTGTCCTAGAACTAGCTCTTGTAAACCAGTCTGGCCTCGAACTCACAGAGATTCATCTGTCTCTGCCTCCCAAGTGCTGGGATTAAAGGTGTGCACCACCACCACCCGGCTTGTTTTTTCTTTTAAGAGGGTCTCATGCAGCCCAGGCTGGCCTTGAACTCACTATGTAGCCAAGGATGACCTTGAACATCTGCTCTCCTTCCTCTACCTCCTGAGTGCTGGGATTACAGGCATGACCCACTACAATCAGTTCAACATTATTTAGAAGATCAAGCCCAGGGCTTCATGCCTGAGTGGCAGGCACTGAATAACCTAGCCACATTCCCCAGATCTCCTGAAATTCTGTTTCAGATGATCTTGCAGGATCTGCACTGTGGCATCAATAAGTACTTCCAGGCTTTGTTTCCAGTCTGTGCAGGAATCCAGAGTGCCTCGTTTTTCATCTTCATTTAACACTCACAAAGGTGGGTTTGAAAAAGTATGGTGCAGAAGGAGACCCACCCTGCCCGTGCTGCTCCTTGTAAAGCTAGCCAGTGCACTTCTTCCCCAAACCCAAGGCTTGGTTTAGCTTTAGGATTCAGACCTTAGGCTAATCAGGACCCTCTGTATCCTCCCTTATGGGACGCAGGAACACAGGCGTTCTAATCCCTCTTCCCTGGAGTACCAGTAACAGGGTACCAGAGTTCACATGTTGGCTGCAGACTCCCTTTCCACTCTCAGGAAGGGACAGTCCTACCACCTACGAGGTCCATTGATTGAAGGCCAAATGAAGTGAGCAGCCTTCCAGACTTCAGCCGACAGCGAACCCCCCACCCACCCACCAAAGGTTCTTGGGTACCGGAGATCGCCAAATGGGTAGACAAGAACGCTACAAACTCCAACCCAGTCCTGGACCGCGCTCCCGCCTTCAGCCCGCCCCGCCCCCACGAGGGCGCTGCAATTGGCGGAAAGTTCTGGGGCTTATGGCGATTGGTCCAAGGGCAAAGGCCCCGCCCCCATCGTCCGGGAGCTCAGAGAGAGCTGCGCCAGGGGTAGCGGGTTGTGGGGACGCGCCGGGCCGGGCGGCCGCGCCGCGGGCTGCTAGCGCTGCGGCCCCGACCTCCCGGGGCAGCAGCCCGAGGCCCCGGCGCGTCCCCGAGCCATGTCGGTAGCCGCGCTTCTCTGCGCGCTGTGCTGCGGTCTCCTGGCCACGTCTGCTTGTGCCGGCTACTCCAAGGACCGCTGCAGCTGGAGGGGCAGGTAGGGTCCCTAGGAGAGACTATGGGGATGGTTTTTTCATCTTGTGTTGGGGGCCTCCCTCCCACTGGAAACTGAGTAAGCACACACCTCAATATCCTGTTCCACAGAGTGGACGCAGGTGCTGGTGGCGGCGGGACAGGGGGTGGTGAGTCGGGGAAAAAGGGCTACCCGCCTGAGAACCACCGTCCTGTCCCCAGCGGCTTGACCCAGGAGCCTGGCAGCGTGGGGCAGCTGACCCTGGATTGTACTGAGGGCGCTATCGAGTGGCTATATCCAGCCGGGGCGCTGCGCCTGACCCTGGGCAGCCCCAATCCGGGCACGCAGCCCAGCATCGTCTGTCTGCGCCCCGCGCGGCCCTTCGCTGGTGCCCAGGTCTTCGCTGAACGGATGGGCGGCAACCTAGAGTTGCTACTGGCCGAGGGCCCAGGCCTGGCTGGGGGCCGCTGCATACGATGGGGTCCCCGCGAGCGCCGGGCCCTTTTCCTGCAGGCCACACCACACCGCGACATCAGCCGCAGAGTTGCTGCCTTCCGTTTTGAGCTGCACGAGGACCAGCGTGCAGAAATGCCTCCCCAGGCCCAAGGTCTTGCTGTAGATGGTGAGTGATTAGACTGACTGAGGAGGAGGTTGGTGCCAGGAAGTGGTTCTCTAACCAGGCCTTGACACTCCACTGCACAGAGGGTCCGTCCATAGCTCGACAGAAACCACTCTGTTGGAGAGCGGCTTCCAGGTCATAGGGAGTTGGGTGGGAGTGCTCCCTCCTTTCCCTCCTCCTCTAAAGGGTTTTAGGGAACGAGCAGGAGGGAGCAAATGCAGGAGAGGCCAGCCCTGTGCCTCTGGTTTCTGGAGGGTTGGGGGGGAGGGATGGGCTGGGGCAAAATCAAAGCCTATGGCCAAAGCTGTCCAGGGCTCCCTGGCCTGGTGGTGACCTCCCTCCCCTCCCCCAGCCCAGCCAACAAAAGTCCACTGTGCCTCTTGGTCACCATGGAGACGCCTGCCCTGCCTCCCTGCAGGGCACCAGGCCCAGTATTCTGCTCTTCTGGAACTTGCAGCCTGACCCTGCAGGGGCTGGCTCTCTGACTGTTCTGCCCTATCCGGGGACCCCAGAACCAGAGTCCACCAGAATGTCCTGTCATCCTAACTGGGCCTGTGAGGCAGCTCTGAGAGGTCACAGAATGTTCTTCGGGATTGGTATGAGTTTATCAGATGGTGTGCAAGGATGTGTATAAAGCAGGGGGTGTCATCGGTAGGCATGTGCCTGCAGGGTGCACCGTGACTGCTGGTGCCTTCAGGCTGGGTGGTTGCTGGGAGAAGGTTTAACCACCAGCTGAGACCTTTTCCTGCTGGGAGGAACAGGCTGAGAGCACAGGCCTGGCTGACGACCTGCCTTGCATGCTAGGTGCCTGCAGGCCCTGCAGTGATACCGAGCTCCTTCTGGCTGCATGTACCAGTGACTTTGGTGAGTATTCCCGTTGTGGGACAGCGTAGGGTCTGCCCCACACTCCCACATTGCCCACCACTGGCCACCGTGTCTCTCCACAGTGATCCATGGGACCATCTACGGGGTCGCCCATGACATGGAGCTGCAAGAGTCAGTCATCACTGTGGTGGCCACCCGTGTCATCCGCCAGACACTGCCACTGTTCCAGGAAGAGGGCTCAGAGGGCCAGGGCCAGGCCTCCATTCGTACCCCGTTGCGCTGTGGTGTGCGTCCTGGCCCAGGCTCCTTCCTTTTCATGGGCTGGAGCCGATTTGGTGAAGCCTGGCTGGGCTGCGCTCCCCGCTTCCACGAGTTCAGCCGCGTCTATGCAGCTGCCCTTACAGCCCACCTCAACCCATGTGAGGTGGCACTGGACTGAGAGACCTGGGAGCAAGCCCCCACCAGACCTTCTGGGGATGGGGTGCTGGGGCAGGGTGATAGGAGGGAGGGTGGGAAGGGTGTGGCTCAGACTGCACACTGGTGCCCACAGTGAGGTGATAGATACTAAATGACCTGGATCACACCAGCCGCTGCCGACTTGGTCTTCTGTGACACACCCAGCTCTGCTCCTGCCTCACTTTACTTACTCTTTTCTCTGCTGCACATCTAACCCTTCTTGGCCTGCGTGCCCTGCTGACCCAGCTCACTGGTGAGCCCGTTTTCCTCTAACTCCAGGATATCCTTGGGTCTTAGAGCAGCAGTGCTGAAACTCTCAAGACTTGGGCTAATTGAGGTCCTTTAGGGGACCCGGGGGGGCAAGCAGACAGACACCACTTCCAGGTCTGAACTAGGTCTGTTGGGGGGGGGTGCTGAAGTCTGGCAGGGTGCCATTCCCTTCCGTGGTCCTTGTGAGCCTTACAGTCATCCTTGGCCTGGTCCCGCCCTTGGGGAAGAATGGGCCCCTCTGTCCGGAGGCCCCTGCGACGTGCTGAGCATCCAGACATGGCAAAGCGCCTGCAGGGTGTGGGGTCTCCACTGCAGGATCCTGCTTGGTCGTTTCCGGCGGGAGAAGTGCACAATGGGGTCTCTAAGGAGTATTTCCCGCCACTGGCCCCATTGTTGCTGTCCCTGCCTTCCTCCTGGGCCTCTTTATTTCATAAAGGGCAAGCGAGACCCTGGGCAGACAAAGCCAGTGGCCTGAAATCCTTAAGTGAGGTGTGCACTAGGTTCCTCAGGCACCAACCAAGCACATTCCTGCCACCTCTCCCTCAGTTCTGAGAAACTGCTTCAGCTCCAGTGCTGAGTGGAGTGGAGTTCCAGAAATGGCTTTCTGTCCTTGCGCCCTCCCTTTAAGCCTTTCACCCATAATCACCCCAGTGGGCTATTCATTCTTTGGTAAGAAACAGACTGAGAGTGGGACACGGCTGGGGAGGGACCAGACATATGGTTCCTTGCTTCAGACTTTGCCAATGAAGGTACCTGGTGGTGGTGTCACACCCTACACAGACCCTGGAATGGCTACCTCTGAATGTTTATAGGCAGATCGCTTAAATAGCACCTGTGCATATTCTGGGGTTGGGCAGAGAGCATGCTCCTTTCACTGAGACTGCCTGCTGATGGAGTGGGAGGGGGATGAGGGCAAGAGATCACTCCTGAAGAGCAGGTGACACCATTTTCTTCCACCATCTATCTGCCTCCGAGCTGGCTCCCTGCTGCTTGCTGTCATTTCCCCAAATTCCATGAAGTGCTAAGGGCTTAGCCCAGCTCCTTTCCACCTGGGTGTGGGGGAAGACTGGCCGGATGGTCTCATGTTTGCTCTAGGGAACAAGCGATGAAGGCCCCCAGAGTGGAAGCAGAGACCGCAAAGGGGGATGGTGTTTGTGAGCAGGTGGACTGAAACCACAGGAACTAGGCTGGGAAAACCTGTGTGAACCAGAGCCACCTCCAAGTAGAGCCCTGGCAGCTGAGGAGCAGGGTGCTTTGTGTGGGTGCCAGTGTCAGGTAAAGTTGCCAGGGCTTTCTGGGTGCTCCAGGCCTGCGAATACTGCCAGGAGCAGCAGATAAGAATAGCTGTGCCCAAGCAACCCTGTCTAGAATTCTGTGTGGGAGGGCCCCATTACAGTTCTTCCAGTGACCAGATTCTGAGCTGGACGCAGCAGAGCCTCTCAGCAGAATACACATACTCCTGCTGCCTCGGCACAGCCGTCCTTCAGACTGTTTTGGAGGAAAACATTCTGCACCTGGGAGACAGGGGGGTGGTCTTGGGCATGCTCTATTTGGGAGTCTCACTATCTCTGCTGGAGATAGCTGAGGAGAATCAGGTCAGGACTGTGCATAGACAAGGAGGACCTGACGTTTACTGCCATTTAGCAGTGATTGACTCAAGCCTTTCTCTATTTCCATGCTGGGCCTTACTAGGAGTCACTCAACCCTTTATTTTTGAAGGAAGGAGATCTTCCGGGCTCCTGGGCTGTCTTTCACCCCAGGCTGGGCCAGCTGCCAGCACCCAGCCTCTCACATCCGGCCGCCTCCCTCCCTACTCACTAGACTGCCAACATCTGTCTGTATCTGCCCGCCCCTCTCCTTCGACCCCAGAACATGCTCTATTTCCCTCTTAATTGTCGTCGCTGCCGGAGGGACTGAAAGGACGTCCTCCGTGGGTTGCTGTCGGGTGTTTGGTAGGCTTCAGGAAGTGTTGGTCAGCAGAATCCACATGAGAATGACTCACAATAATATTGTCCCCTGTTTTAACAGGGGCTGCGGGGCAGGAGCAGTATGGCCTTAGGGAGACCCAGAGCTGAGATTCCATATAGTTGTCTGCAGGGTAGACCCAGAGGCTGGCTGGCCTTTGCAGATCTTGGTCCTAAGACCTACAAACCTTGTAAGGCTCGCCTATCGCCTGTGTCACTGGGATCCAATACCATTCCCCGGAACCCACAGGAGGGGTCACGCCCAGCTGGGCGGAGAAAAATGAGTGACGGACTGGCCCCACGGGCTCCTTCCACTTCCGGCATCTCATAACCACCTCTTCCTAGACTTACACGGTCGCTGTCACGGTTGGGTAGGCACCAGGCAGAGAGAGTACGGCTCAGGCCGGCAGGGCAGCCACCTCCAGCTCCCGGCTGGGGGGCCTTGGAAAGGACGGCCCTGAACTGCGTGTCTCTCAACCATGGATCATGACGAACCGGCCGAGGCCTTGACTGCGCTGAGTGAGAGGCGGCTGGGCTTGCTGGAGCTATTGCAAACGGCGGCAGGCTCCGGGTTGGCCGCCTACACCGTGTGGGCGCTGCTTCTGCAACCCGGCTTCCGCCGCGTGCCTCTGAGGCTGCAGGTGTGACGTGGGGCCTTAGAAGGGGTGGGACCAAAACTGGTGCGAGACAAGCACCAATGGGCGAGATCGAGGCTACTGTACGTAGCTTGTAAAGATGGGCAGGAACCTAACCAGGGACCAGATGTACGGAGAGGTGTAACTAGCATGTTGTAGGGCCTGGACCTACTTTCGCGACCAAGGGGATATAAATGAAGCTAGGATTGGATTACTGAGGGGGGTACGGGTAGTGGTGTGCCTGGAGGGTGGGTGGGGCTGCCACTGGGTATGGCGGATATCTAAGGAAGGAAAGCTAGTAGGCACACAACGGCCCCCGATGTGGTGCTTTGGTCTGTGTGACTCTAGCCTCAGCCCACCAACTTCCTCATTCAGGTGCCCTACGTTGGCGCGAGTGCCCGGCAGGTTGAGCACGTGCTGTCATTGCTGCGAGGCCGCTCTGGAAAAATGGTGGATCTAGGCTCTGGTGATGGCAGGATCGTAAGGCCCGTGTGTCTGTTCATAGTCCCTCCCGTGATGGCCCCTTCCCTACATCCAGGTCCCCCACTCTTGGCTCTCATAGGTGCTGGCGGCCCACCAGTGTGGTCTCCGTCCAGCTGTGGGTTATGAGCTGAACCCGTGGCTTGTGGGACTTGCACGGCTGCATGCCTGGAGGGCTGGTTGTTCTGGGAGTGTCTGCTACCATCGAAAGGATCTCTGGAAGGTAACCTATCAAACTTCATTTTCTTTATCTTTTTTGGGGGGGTGGGGCCAGGGGACTTGGTCTCTAGTTCAGGCCTACTCAAACTCATGTAGCCTAGAATAACGTTGAACTCCTGCCTCTACCTCATGAGCACTAGGGTTACAAACATGGGCTATCAGACCTACTTTATGAAGATCAAACCCAGGACTTTGTGTACGCTGGGCAAGCAAGCACTCCCCCCGACTGAGTCACATCTCCAGGTTTCACACTGAGTGCTGTCACGCCGATACCTGGGTGGGCTGGAGGCTAGAACTCAGTGACCCCATGTCCTCCAGCCTTTTATCTTTCTTTCCCACAGGTGAGCCTCAGAGACTGTCACAATGTGTCTGTGTTCCTGGCCCCCAGTGTGGTAGGTCTTGGGTCTGCTGTCCTGCTGGGAGGTCAGGGCCACCATCTTGGCTGTTCTGAGGCCTGGAGTAGGTTCTGGGCCTAGCTGGATGGGGCAGATTCTTCTTACCTGCTCCTGTGCCCTCCTCCCTCCTGTTCTTTCCTACAGCTGCCACTGCTGGAGGACAAGCTGCAAGCAGAACTACCTGCAGGGGCCCGTGTGGTGTCTGGACGCTTCCCCCTTCCCACCTGGCAGCCTGTGGCTGTGGTGGGTGAGGGTCTGGACAGAGTCTGGGCCTATGATGTCCATGGTAGTGGGCCAGCCGTGGCTTCTTGTGGGATGCCCATCAAGGCCATCCCAGAGTCTACTTCTACCTCCATCCTTAGGACTGTCGTTTGACAGGCTGGCTGACTGATATAATAAAAACTCTGAGAGTTCAATTCTGACTCTTGTTTGTTTCAGGAATCACTCCATGGGCTGGGGTGTGCAGTGGGTTCCATGTTGCCTGTGAAGAGGTTTGATTTGTGCTGTCTCTGGGAGACAAGCTAGCTAATGACTCTGGGTCCTTGGGCGCCAGGGCCTAACGGAAGCCATAGCTTCTACTTCCTGGGGATCTCCTGTGTTCACCAACTTCCTCAGTCTCTGGATTTCCTGCTTGTACCTGATTGGAATGATCAGACAAATCACCTGCTGGCCATGGGTTCTTTCCCTTCCACCTAGATTAGAGCCCCGGGATCATACCCGGCCTACCTGCCCAAGTGCTGGTCCACATACTCTTGTAGCTCAGAAAGCTGCTGCTCTGCCATGGTGGCCCGGACCATCAGCTGTGCCCGCTCTCGTTCTAGCTCTGCCTGGTGGAGCCATGAGCCATGAGCCAGGGCAGGGTGTAGGGAGGAGTCCCCACCATTCCTTGCCCACTACCTGGGTGTCCTGGGAGAAGTCCTGCAGCTTCTGTTGGATTTGGGCCCTGGATGCAGTATCCAGGGTCCTGTGAGGGGAGGAGGGCAGGAGGGACAGTCTCCAAGGCAGGCATAATAACCTGCTGTGTGATTTTAGCACGGCTTGGGGCCCTGGGGACCCTCTGGTCTATTAGGCGTCCTCTTCCCCATGCCTGCCTGCTATACAGCAGGTGTAGAGGCTCAAAGCCAGGGCTGGCCATGTCACCAGACTGTCAGCTCCCACCAAACCCAAGTTTCACTTGCCAGATGCTTACCAAAGCAGCCATCCATTTTTTTCTACAGTTGCCAGTGACCCCTATATAAACTGAGATAGCCCAGAGCAGGGACAGGAGACTCCCAGCCAGCAGCATGGGGTGCCAGAGTGGATGAAAGCTATGCAGCCTGACTCCTGGACCTCCCCTACACCAACAGGAGGGCACTCACACAGGCTGTGACCGGCCCTCCTTGGAAGCTTCACCAGATGCCTTTTCTGGGTAAAGTAGCAGTGTCCTATGTCGGCCATACTGTAAAAGTACAGGATAGGTTCCCTTGATTGACTGAACAAGGCCCAAAGGTTCTGAGCTTGAGATGAAGCCTAGGGTGAGTGCTAGGGCTCTGGGCTTCAAGGCAGTTTCAGGCAGCAGGGATGGGGCACTTGGGTCCCAGTATTACCTCATCTTCCCTTCGGTGGCCGAGTTCAGTGGCCCACTGCATGGGTAATGGTTCCAGGTTGATGGCTGTTGCAAAAGTAGCCCTGGGAGTAGCATGTGCCCTGTTGGGATCTATTTGTGTCTAGGACAACTCCTGCAGCATACTAAGCTGCAGTGCAGGTCATATGGGGCCACCCCACCCCAGGTGCTTGGGTCAGAGTGGAGCCCACCTGTATGTGGTTAGCAGCAACTCCTGCCTCCAGCTCAGATCTGCCAGGCGCTTGCGGTAGGTCCGGGCAGCTTGGGCCAATTGTTGCTCTCGGCTCCGGTGTGCAGCCCGAATGTCCTGCAGAGTGGCCTCCAGGAATGTTTGAAGGGCTGCCTGGTCTGTGCTATTGGCAGTCTCCTGGAGGAGGTTGGATAGAGTAGAGCTAGGGTTGGGGCTGGCTTTGGACTAGGTTAGGCAGCTACGCTGAAGGAGCTGGGCTTGAGTTGGGCAGGGTAGCACTGATTGAGCCCAACCTCACCACCTACCCCAACTGGCTGTGCAGGGACTTGGAACCACAAAGTTTCCCCTAACTGTCCAGCATGCCCAGGCTATATTTGCACCCCTCAAGACCCAGAGGTTACTTCTGACCACCACTAAGTACTCACCACTGTCTCTTTGGCATAACACTGCAGTCGGACAGCATACTCCTCATTCAGCTTCTTCAACTGCAACTGCAGCTGAGCATTTTCAGCCTCTGCCTGCCGGAGCTGACCCTGACAGGTAGACAGCACCTGGGAGTGCACGAGGGGCTCTTGTTCTGTTTGTAGGACTCCCTCCTGCTAGATCTTGAGGCTCACAGGGTGGCTAAGCCCTCACCATGGCTTGGGCAGCCAGTCGCTGACCAGCTACCCTGGCTTCCTCTTGGGCTCCTTGTAGCTGCCGGCCTAGGACTGCCCTGTGAACGCAGTACAGGCTCAGCTGGTACTCCCTAATTCCCTGAAGAGGGATCTTTCTGGGAACTGGGTTCTGCTGGTTCTAGGTGAGGTGAAACTCACACTCGTGTCTCCAGTGCCTGCTGCCTGACTCCATGATGCTCCAGGACCCGCTTTAGTTCTTCCTGCAGCTTCTGCTGGCCTCCTGATGGCTATAGGGTGAGCAAGATCTGGCTATGTGGGAGACATCAAACTCTGGAATCCCTGCCGCCCCAAGCAGGTAGACCCCTGTGCTAGGTGTCTGTGCACTCACATTGCTCATGCTCTCACTCCCAGAGAATCTGTCTGGTTTGAGCTGCACCTTCATGGTCAGAAAAGGAGTGGGGGGGAGGGGAGGGAAGGGAGCAGCAGACACCCGTTTCACTGCCCCTGTGGAGCTGCCCAGCGCAGCTCTCTAAGTACTCATGGTAACCTAGAGTCTGTGGTAGGTGACATCCAGGCCTGGGTTTCTCCACTAACCTCTTCTTGCAGTGGCACCTGGTGGTGCCCCGAATTGACTGCTGGTGGGACTCTATGTCTCCAGCAGTCACCATTTCCATGCAGCTCTAGCTCTAGCACCCGACTTTCCAGTCGAAGAACCTGTGGACGTCAAGGGTGAGCAGGGCTACCACCTGGAGCAAGCAGGTATTCACCTAGGCACATGCAGGAGCACATATACAGGGGCCAGGAAAAAGCCTACAGACACAAAGTACATGTTTACTCAGAGGCACCTGGACCCCATAATGGCTGGCGCTTGTCCTGGGTGTGCACTCCATTCCTGAATGCACTCAGGCTGACATATGGCTTGTGTGGCTACTCACTTCCCTCTTCAGCTCGAAGACTTCAGCTTCATGCTGTTCACGAAGGTGATGGGTTGCAATCTGAAGATCAACTAGCTCCTTGGAAATCTGTGGGTAACCGGGGTAAGAGATGCTGCCCATGGCTTCATGGGCTCTCAGTCAGTACCCCACAGTCTCACACCCACCTGCAACCACTGCTGCTCACTCAACTCTGGATCTGGTTTATATTCTGTCTCCAGGCTGGCAGCCCAGGCTGGGTGTCCAGAAACTCTTGGCAGCCAGTCGTCAGCTCCTGGAACGACCTGGGAAGGTACCACCACCCCACATTTAGGTGGGTCTCCAGCCTGGCCTGTGGACCCCACTCTTATAGAGCCATTCCAGTCCTCCTGAACAAGGTCAGCTCCTTCTCTGGGCAGGAACAGACACAGGATCCAGGAACTTCATCCCTTCTGGTCTATGAAGAAAAGGAAGGACCCCAAGGCAACATCAGTATCCTAGGAAGACTTACATTCTCTGTGACTTGAAGTGGGGCCCCTGGCCTGGGGCCTGGGGCTGCCACATACTCCATAGGGAAGAGGAACTCTAGCCCAGGACTTGTCTGATGGAGGTTTGCTTCCTGACTGTTGCAGTGAGTGTTGCCACTGTTGCCAAGGTCTCTGTTGATCTTAGAGACTACTTATCCTGCCTACAAGGAAGGGCAAGGCCGTCCAGTGCTTACGAAGAGAGGAGAGTGCACAGCTCCTTCCACATTCCATTCCTTCGTGGGCCCCGTATCATCTGGGAAATACAGACAGGCACCCCGTTTACTTCAGGCCAGTTGGATCCAGGAGTGCATGACAACGCCAAACCTATACCTGTAGCTGTGGGCACTATTTCTCTTTATATGGATGTCCTACGCCGTCCCCCACCCCCACCCTGTAGGGATTTGTAACTCTAGACTCTTGCATATCTTCCTGTGTCAGCCAAACTCACACCAGCAGGTGAACAAGCGGGACGAACCCCACCACCCTCTGTCTGAGAGAAGTGGGCATGACCAGGGGCAGTGGACCTCGCGAGCTAGCTCAGCCTGGGCACCGAAGGATAGCATGAGGAGGTGTCCTTGCCTGATGCTGAGTTGGAGCATGCTCACTCAGCCATACTGTGTCCTCGGTGCGTGTATTCCCTTTTGCGCAGGCGCAATTCCTGCGGCTGCCCTTCAGGTCTCGGCAGCACTCAGGATCGTGCCTGGGGAGTGAGGGAGCGTGGGGATTCAGGGACGCTAGATTGGCGGCTCAAGTGTAGGTGAGGACAGCAAGAAATGAGGCCAACCCAGGCCTTGGAGTCCCACTGTAGCTGAGAGAGGCGGGGCCTGTGGAGGAAGGCGAGGCCTACCGGCACCGTGGGGCGGGGCTAGAAGAAATCCGCATTGCTGTGTAGCTTTTGGAGGAAGCTGAAGCTGGGACAAGGGGCGGGATCTAAGGTGGGCAGGGCCGCCGGTCCCTGAGTCTTGCTTGGAGTTTGGAACTGAAGCAGTCCTCTGAGGAGCTCCTGGGCAGCGGATCAACTCTTTCTTTGTACCCCCGGTGTGTGTGTGTGTGTGTGTGTGTGTGTGTGTGTGTGTGTGTGGTACCCCCGGTGTGTGTGTGTGTGTGTGTGTGTGTGTGTGTGGCTGACCTGCCTCGAGCAGCTCAGAAGAAGAGATTCGTTAGACTGGGGCGCCTCTTTTGGAGAAGGTGCGGATTCACTGAGGTCTGAGACTATGAAGGTCAAAGTCATCCCGGTACTTGAAGACAACTACATGTACCTGATAATTGAGGAGCACACACGGGAGGCAGTGGCTGTGGACGTGGCTGTGCCCAAGAGGGTGAGGACAGACAAAGGAGGCCATCAAGGGACCCAAATCTCTATATTTTTACAGCATTTGATGTATTATCTTTGGGCTCCCCTGATTGTTTGTAGTACTCCAATACTTGTAATTGTCCGATATCTCCCCTAACCCTTGCTGCTCTGAGTCCTGAGCCTGCCTGGAGAACTAAGCCCTGAGCCTAGTGCCCCAGTATGGGATGGGGCGCCCCCCCCAATCCCGCACTACAATTCCTTTCCTTTTAGCTGCTGGACATTGCAGGCCGCGAGGGGGTGTCTCTGACCACGGTGCTGACCACCCATCACCACTGGTGAGTAAAGATGGTGTTCTCCGAGGCCTAAGGCAGACAGACTCCTCGTCTAGCACTCTGACTTGACCAGGCTCCTGCACTTCCACAGGGACCACACACGTGGAAATGCGGAGCTGGTGCACCTGCGGCCAGGACTGGAAGTCATGGGAGCTGATGAGCGCATCTGCGCACTAACCCGCAGGCTGGCACATGGGGAGGAACTTCGGGTGAGCGTTCACCCAGAGGGGTGGGGAAGGTCCTGGCCTGGGCCTGTCCACCAGCCCTCACAGGTCCAATGCCTCACCATCACAGTTTGGGGCCATCCACGTGCGATGCCTCTTGACGCCGGGCCACACCACTGGTCACATGAGCTACTTCCTGTGGGAGGATGAGTGCCCGGACCCACCAGCCCTCTTCTCTGGTACCTCGCAACCTGGACTCATCCACTGTGCAATTCCACTTTGCCCATCCTACCCGCTTCTGACCCTCTCTCCTCTCTAGGGGATGCTCTGTCAGTGGCAGGCTGTGGCTGGCATCTGGAGGACACTGCCCAGCAGATGTACCAGAGCTTGACCAAGATCCTGGGTACCCTGCCACCCCAGACGGTGAGAGAGCCTTTTGTGGGGTCCACATGCTTGGTGCTGAACTTTTTTTTTTTAAAGGTTTATTTATTACATATACAGTGTTCTGCCTACATACCAGAAGAGGGTACCAGATTGAATTGTAGATGGTTGTGAGCCACCATGTAGTTGCTGGGAATTGAACTCAGGACCTCTGGAAGAGCAGCCAGTGCTCTTAACCTCTGAGCCATCTCTCCAGCTCCGGTGCTGAACTTCTTACTATGCTTCTGTACCTGTCCTGCTTTGGTGGACCCGGTGGGTTGGATGCTAGGTTAGGGATGAGGGCCTGCCCCTTCCTTGGCTTGGGGCAATGTGTGTTCACTGAGCTCCCTCTTCTTGCAGAAGGTGTTCTGTGGTCATGAGCATACACTGAGCAACCTTGAGTTTGCGCAGAAAGTGGAGCCCCGCAACGGCCATGTGCAAGCTAAGCTGTCCTGGGCCCAGGTACATCCATTTCTGGCTCCACAACAGGGGTGGGGGCAAGAGCAGTCTTCCTCAAGTTTGGGGGAAGTGCAGAAGGGGAGCCTCTGGAGTCAGAATGACACTTCTGCTGGCTAGGCCAGGTTCTGCCTTGCTGCAGACTTTCTGTCACCTACCTTAATCTCCTTGTGGCTGTCTGTGGAGCCCAGTTGTGATCAGCGACCTGTGTTCTTTCAGAAGAGGGATGACGATGATATACCTACTGTGCCCTCCACACTGGGAGAGGAGCTCTTGTACAACCCTTTCTTGAGGGTGACGTAAGTATGGCTGTGTCCTGGGCCTTCCTGTGGTGGGGCCTGAGCCATACCAGTGGGTGGGGCAGCTTCAAGAGGCTGTGTGCACTGCCAGCTGGAGTCTCCCCATGGAGCAGTCTCAGGACTAGCCTGGCATCCTTGGGGCCTCTTTGGCAGTCATTTGGGTAGTTAGGAGAATATCTAGGGACTACTTATTGAGCTCAATGTCCCTGGCACCAGGGAAGGGCGTTTGTTAAGGGCCCTCCTCCTTCCATCCACTGCCCTGCTGGGCCCCACCCCCATGGGCAGCTGGCCAGCCCCACAATTCCCCAGCATACTCTTCCCTGTAGAGAGGATCCAGTTCGTGAGTTCACAGGCCAGGTGGCACCTGTCCAGGTCCTAGAGGTACTCTGCAGGGAGCGAGCACGCTTCCAGACTGCTTTGGAGCCACCGCAGCCCCAGGTCCGGGCACTCCTGGCCTTGCAGTGGGGACTTCTGAGTACACCCCAGGAGAAATGAGCCACGTGGGAAGCCTGCTTGTCTCCACACTCCTTCTCCTGACTGTAAATGACTTCAGTTCAGTTCCAGCCTCAACTTCAGGCTGACTGGAACCCTGACCTCTAGAACATGCCTCTGAGGCCCTGCCACCCTGCTCTGAAGAACCAGCAAATGGTGCTCTCCTTGTCTCTACTGCTCATGGTGCCACACAAGCAGGGTCTCTGAAGGAACTCTTGTGGGCCCTGAGACATGCATGTCCTGGGGACTGAGAAGGGTGAATAAAACTTTGAAAGGTTCAGTGTGGTGCCAGACACACAGCAGATGCTTCCAGAGGTGCAGACCTGTTTATTAGTGGTGAGGCTGGGTGAGAGACAAGCTCAGTGAGACTCATATGGACTTCTCACGGCCATACAGGCTTGGTGCCAACAGACTGCCCAGACGGCAAGGCAAACAGTTTTTCAAGAGGATCAGGTGCCCCAATAGGTTCAGGCTTGATACCTCCCTTTACATTGTAGATTCAGAGGTTAGCCACAGAAATGAAACTGTGCTCATCATACTCAGGGTACTACACCCGGAGGCCTGGACAGGGAAGATGCCCATGGCCTTAGGCCAGCAAAAAAGATTCTGGAACCTCATTGAACCTTTAGCCCCCTTGGCTACCCGGATCCTGCCTGCACTCCTACCCTGAAGAGCTCAGTGTGGAATCTGCAGGTGCACAGGCCATAGGCAACGTTACCAACCAGAGGCACACAGGTCATGTACTGCCAAGGACCCAAGTGCAGCTAGTGCCCCACTTTAGCACAGAATCCAATACATCCTTGAATTTTGAAGGTCTCTGGTGTGTTCTCTGTTGCTGGTACACACATGGTCTTCATGGGAGTCTTGGTGCTGGTCCCTGGGGCTCTCACAGACTCTCAAGGCCTCCTACCACCTGATGCTGAGGCCTGAGTTGGTCTTCTCCACGGCATGGTACTGTGTGTGCAGCAGGCGGCTGGCCCGTTCGGAGCCCTCACCTTGCAGCCAATGCTGGTACAGCTCCTGGACCCCTGGTGCATCTTCGGGCGCCTCATTCCTCACCATGCTGTACAGTCTTTCCACTTGCTGGAGGAGCTCCCTGCCTTGCATGTCTGGAGCCTTGAGCTGGCCCCCTCCATTCAAGCAGCCTGTAGCAGAGCACAGGGCATGGTCGTGGCAAGCCAGGGTTTAGCCCTCTAACCCCCAGTGTGTGTGGAGAGGGGACATGTTCCCCTCTGTCCAACCCCTTCCACCTTCCATTGGTGGCAGGCTTCTGTGCTATGTTAGGAGGAGCTACCTGAAGGGCAGGCCATGACTTCCACATAATGGTAGGGACAGCGGCCTCGCTTCAGCTTCTGCACAAGGTTCTGGATGTTGCGGAAACCATAGGCCACAGCAAAGCGCAGCAGCACCTGGCCTTCCCTCTCCAGTGTCACCTCCTGGAAGTCCTTGTTCCTGAAAGTGTAGGAGTTGCCCTGCAAACCTGTCCCTGCCTAGGCGCAGAAGCATTCTGGGGTTCAGCACACTACCATCTGGCTGTCGTTTTCTGATTGCAGGCAGGGGAGGGATGATGGAGAGGGGGGCACAGCTTGCATCCATGGGCCCAGAAAACCTCACCCCAGCCTTGACCTCCTTAACTAACAGGGTTTCCCAAGGGCAACCATGAAGCCCAGCAAGGTGTGACACTCCAGCCCCAGGTGCTGTACCCATGCTAGGCATCTGCTAGTCCTTGCATGCGTCGCCCAGGCTCAGGGTCTCTGCTGAGACTGAGGAGAGTACACTGACCTGCTTGCTCATGCCTCGTGCTCATAAGAGGAGAGTCAAGGGCTCCAAGGGTCTTTCCCCCAAGTTCACTTCAGTGCCTGCCCCACTAACCTCATGGGTTGGTAGGTAACTTCAGTCACATGGACTCCAAAGAGCTCTTGGGCTGCGTGCCGGAACACATGCTCCAGGTATCCTCCTGAGCCTCCACCCCGATGGCTGGTGGGCTCCTCAGCAGACACACTACTGGTTCTGGGAGAGGGGCAGGTCAGTGCAGGAGGCTGGGGCTCAATACAGCTGAGGTCTCTTGTAGTCAGACCTTAAGAACTGTTCTTATGGTGGCCCTGGGAAGCTCAGATGGCTTCTAGAGCAGGCTCTGCTTTGACACTGTAACTCAGCCACTCTTGGGCCCCAGCCAGGCTGTGGGGAGGTCTGGAGTCAGCCAGAAGGCAGCCTGGGTAGAAAGGAGGGGACAAGACACTGCCCCACCCCACAGGCAGCATCTGATCCCAAATAAAGGTTCTCAGTCCCCACCACCAACTCACAAGCCATCCAGGGGCATAGGCTCCAGCTCCATGAGTGAGACTCCTTCTTCCTCCAGGAGTCTAAAGACTTCTCCTACAGAGGACACAGTACATGCTCTAGTTGGCCTCAGAATGCTGAGCTGTCTGTCTCCCCAGAGGGACACTCACTCCCATTTGTGGTGGGATGGTTGAGTTCAGCAGCCTCTGCAGACCCACCAGAAGGCATTCCTTCCTGGAGCTCTGTAAAGGCAGGGCCACTCTGCCAGTCCAGGGGCAGGCTGTTTAGCCTTCCAGATAGTTTATTTTCCTGATTCTTCAGTAAGACAGGCTACTCTACTCAGAAGTGGAGTGAAGATATGAGCCACAGGGACTAGACTTGAGATCATGTTTCCTCTCAAGACTCATTTTTAAACCAGCAAGGATACAATACTGGGGCTCCATTGGTCACAGGATCCTGAGAGGCACTGTGGGAAGGCCCAGCTGTCTGCTGGACTCTAGTGCTTGGCTCTAGGGGAGCCCTGGAGACAGCAGAGGGTAGTTATGCATGGTGCCTGCACCTGTTGTAAGGACACAGTCTACGTCACGGGTCTGGTACTTCTGGTTGAAGAAGTCAGGTCTGGACGCTTCTAGCTTTTTGTCGTAGCAGGGCATCACTGTCACATGGTAGATCTTGTCTGGAGTCAGATGCTACAGAGAGAGTACAGAAAGTTTCAGTTCCACCTAAGTCAAGCTCAGAAGTGACCTCACTGAAAGGTGAGGCAGAGTGGCTGCCAGGCGTGACTGGAGCAGTTACTCACGCCCACTGGCCATCATATAATGATGGTCACACATTACCTCTCCTGCTTCTGTGGCAGGAGAGGAGATAAGCTCTCACTGTCTTGGAAAGAACGAGCACATCACAGTGGAAAACGCACGGACTCAAGGGAAGGGTGGCTGTGCACGTGTAGAGGGACCGCAAGCGACTGATGCCAGTGCTTACGGCTTCAGGTACAATGGAGGCCAGCTGCCTTCCTCATCTTCCATCAGTGGGGGGCTGGGTTCAGTGGATCACTGGAAACGACCTGAGATGAGATCTGGTTCCTTCATCCAGCAGCCTGTGAACTGTGCTTCTAGCCCTTGGTCTCCTGCTCCCTAAATGTGGAGTCTAGCCACCTCTAGATGCAAGAAGTGCCTTTATATCAGAACTGGGCCCCCTGGTATCTGATAAAAGACAGCCCAGACAGTGACAGGCTAGCTGGGCAAGACTGATACTGAGGTAAAGCTTACTCCACCGGCAGCTGCCATTAGATTCCAGTCACCCAGACGGATACCTCCGTGCCATGGTCAATGGCCAGCCAGTGGGCCATCTCTTACTCCTGCGTCACAGATCACCACTCCTCATTATGTTGTCTGGGGATGCCCAGTCCTCTTACCTGTTGCTGGGCAAAGAAGTCTTTGACCAGGGAGCCCATAACCTGCTGTGGGGACCGGGCTGTGCTGATGTAGGGGAGGATGAAATTGCCATGTGTCTTCTCGGCATAGCAGATCCAGCCTGAGCCAAAAGAAGAGAGGTCTGGGGTGTGCATAGGGCAGGCTTGGGGGTGGTTAACAAGCTGCTGTTCTCCTCTTGGCAGTGACTGACATTCCGGGGGTGGACCGAGTCATACAAAAAATTACTGTGGCATTAAAACATTCCTCTTGTCATCACTGTCACAAGGAAGGCTGGCATCTAGGTGATCACCAATGGGAACTGGTGACCATAAGTGGTGTCTTCAGCCTTATGTACCTCCTAGGTACTGACATTTCTACCCTTCTTTCAAGATACCACCCCTGCCCGTCATTCCCATTGTTCTTGTCAAGATGTCAGTATGTTATCAAATCCTAACTTCAACTGAACAGTCATTCAGCCACGGACATACCTGGGCAGGCAGAAGCCAGCATGGGCAAGGCCTCTCTGGAGTTGGTTTGCCCTCGGAATCGCTGCACAAACTCTCTCTGGCTTTCCAAAAGGCTGAAGTTCCTTGCGAAGGCAGTATCAAAGACAAAGTGTACCCCTGGAAGGTGATGGAAGGTGAGCATGTGCCTTAGCCTTAGCCATGGCAAAAACCAGCATCTGAACAACTCTGTCCAGAGCAGAGCAGCTCTATGGACCACAGGCCAAGAGCAGGGCTCTGCCCGAGTGGTACCACAGCATGTCATTTCTGTGGGGGCTCTAGGAAGCACTGTTTTACCAGGTACAGCACCTACTGTGTAGATGCCCTGAGAGCTGTTCAGTGGCCCCACCATTGCCCCCCTATAGCGAATTCCTAAAGAATATACTCTCCTTGGCACCATCCTAAATGTGTTTAAATCTTTCATGCTAGTAGGGTATGGCCCCTGGATGCTTTGGCCTCCTCCAGAACAACCTGTGGTGCATACAGAGATCTCTGCCTTATTCAATGGCCTCCTCCTGAGGACTACAACCCTGAGGGCTAGGGCCACCACACTGTGCTGCACCCCTGCATGGACTATGCAGATGTGTCTTGGTGGCCTCTCAGCCACAGTGAGATGCTATAGACTTCTGCCTGCCTGACTGCCTGCCCTAAGCCAGAAGCTGGAGCTCCTGCAGAGCCCCAGTGGAAGACTGTGCTCCTGGCTGCTCAGTCCTCCCCAGGACTAGGAATGGTCCTGAGGTGATGCAGGACTGAGGGCTCTAACTCTTCTCAGAACCATGCTAGCTTTTCTTAGGACTCTGGGGACTGAGGATGGCTCCTATTATCACAGCAAGGGTCAGAACTCATGATACACATGTGTCACACAAGAGCATGGGGTACCTATCAGTAGGTGTCCCCTGCGAGACTACTGGTCATGCTACACAATAAGTTGCCCCAGGTCATCGAACAGACAGGAGCAGAATTCTGTGAGGTGGAGCCATGAGTGCCCATGCCCAGTCCTTCCACTTCCCTAGGATGAGCTGCTGGTCACTCTGGTACTGAGACCCCCAACTTAGCAGGGGATTTCAAAACACCCATGTCCTCCT